GTAAGACACTCGGCCGCCATCCGATGTAAGACACTCGGCCGCTATCCGATGTAAGACACTCGGCCGCCATCCGATGTAAGACACTCGGCCGCCATCCGATGTGAGACACTCGGCCGTCAGCCGTCCGCGGGGCTCCCCGGCTGTGTCTGCGCTTACTTCCTGGAAATCGAGTGTTCATCCAAGATTGTAGATAGACGGATGCTCTGATAGCTAACGGAGCCGTCCTGAATGGTTTGACCTTGGTGTAAATGGCGTGGTCACTCCATCATGGTAGTGATTCTGTGACGGTCGTCATGACGTTCGTTGTACCACGGAGGATAGGGGGCAATGAACCCTGTAGGCCAGAAGGCATTCAAACCATTCATGGCGCAGTTATTTCAGTCCTTATTTTACGAACGCTGCTCACACTCCTATTCAGGCAATCAGTTCAGATTTATAGACCCAGGGTGGTGATAGGTGGAATACCGCTATTTTTGGTTGGAAATTTAGTTGTAGGCTATGTTCGTAACGAGTGATGTGGAAGAGACACACACAACCTCTTTCGTTCATGATAAGATCACGTGCTTCACCTGTACTTACCTCCATGGCATACCCATCACTCATATCAACAACATCCGACTTTTTTAACTTGACATGCAAGGAGCCCTTCCAATGAACTGGCATGTTTCAAATTAGGAATGCACAGGATACCTGCCGTTAAGCACCAATACAAAGCGTGCGGCACGAACGATCTTATATGGTCGCGAACGATAGCCTCGACGTGGCGCCCCCTGCCGCCAGCAGTTTCGCTGGCGGTCGCCGGGCCGTGCCGTACCGTTACCTGCCGCCGGCTGCCGCGGCTGCCGTAGGTGTTGGCGCCGAGGCGGTGCCGCCGACCTCGAGGGTACGCGAGCGTCGCGTTCCGCCACGCTGCGACGGCACCGGCATGCTGGAGGCAGTCGCGCCGCGCCGCGTGCTGGGTGTCGGCGGCGAGTCGGACATTCTCGGGCTCTCGGGGCTCGCTGTCGGTCCCAGTGCTGACGACGGTGCCTGAGGGCCGCTGGCAGGACAGCGGTTGGGGACCGCTGGCAGGGCGGTGGTTGGGGACCGCTGGCAGGACGGTGGGGGGGGGGGGGGGCGCTGGCAGGACGACGGTGGGGGACCGCTGGCACGACGGCGGTTGGGGCTGCTGGCAGGACAGTGGTTGAGGACCGCTGGCAGGACAGCGGTTGGAGGCCGCTGGCAGGATGGCGACTGAAGCCGCTGTCAGGACAGCGGTTGGAGCCGCTGGCAGGACGGCGTTTGGGGCCGTTGGCAGGACGGCGGCTGGGGACCGTGCGTCACTGCACGCGGCCAGTCGCGGCCCTGGCTTCACCGGGGGAGCTGCAATATGTACCAAGCGCGCGCTGCCAGAGGCTGAAAAGGTCAGAACTCGCGAGATATCGAGATGGCGCCAAAGGTCCGACAGAGCCGCTGACTAGAGAGGACATCGCCAGGGGCAGGGGCAGACGGGGAGAGGGGGGGGGGGGGGGGCAGGAAGACGGCTTACCAGATCATGGCCGGTAGCCGATGCGAACAGGCTGCTCCGGTATAAGGAGACTGGGCCCGGATTGTTGACTACATGGTTGGAGAGCTGCAGCATCTCCTGACTCACGTGGTATGTCGCCGGCCTGTAGTCTTCACGCTGCAGCCAGTCTACCACTTATTGGCTTCAACGTGGGCCTTATGGGAGTCCCATACACTATGCTGCAACGCACACTACGCCATTCCTAATTCAAAGCGTTACGTTGTCGTGGGTGGACGTAAAAAGTAAGGAAGTGAGAGCATTTGAGTTGTTCTGCGGTTGCTGCGATTGAAAAGCTTCTTCTTGCAACCATTACTTCTTCTTCGAGAAAACAAGACTTGAAAAGTTATTGGGAGCCGCCACCAGTTTTTGAGCAATTAAAAAGCATCAGTGTTTCGAAGATGTCGAAAAACATCCGTGCAAAGGTCGGGACGGGCTGTGTTTGCTGCGAGCGAGGAGATGAAGGCGGGGATAGTGCTACCCGCCTCTTAGATGGAGCGAAGGCAAGTGAACTCTTTTCGTGGGATTGACGTTTTCAGAGCCACCAGCATCCTGCTGTCGATCGGCGCTGGTGCAAACATCCATGTGGTCGAGACATCGATGATAGATCCTCCGAGGTGATCAAAACTAGCATGATATGATCACGGCCAAAGAGACCCCAGCAAGACTAGTACTAAACGCTTCCGACTCTCGCGACAGCTGGTACAATATCGGTGTTTTCGGCTGGCGCTTGCAAGAGTTGAGATAGCCATGGACTGAAGCACTGTGGATGTGGGGCCACTCCTCTCGCAGACTCTCCCTGAAGACGTACTTGGGACCTCTCGCACAGCATGAGCCAAATCTGACCGGGGCTCCTGACAGCCCAGGGGCCGTCCTTTGCATCTTAGAGAGGCTCTGTTATTAAGGTGACGTCCTTGTTAGGTTGGAGCGTTCAGTTCTGATGTTGCAGGGGTCCGTTTTGTTTGCCAAGAGTGAGTTTTGGACGGTAAAGACGCACCGACAATGCGATGATGAGGAAGGCGAAGGAACCATGAAAGAATAAAGACTGAAAATTGTTACTTCGTCAATCTTTAGTTATGAAAGCTCATTAGAACCCATGACTGCCAAAAGCACCGCTAAAAGTCTTGCTGGAGTTGCTTCACCACCGGTTTCTAGGCTTGCTGGCTAACATAAGCAGCTCTAGTTGCAACAAAAACGCGAGGTTAAGCGTACCTGTCCTCCAGGTTCACACTTCCAGGCTTACATAAACAGGGAAATGTGTTTTTGAATGGTATGACGTGAAATTCAACGGACAGTTTCAGCTTAATAGCTTCTTGCAGGAAATCATTACCGCTGACTTTCGGGGCGCTTCCAGAACGCGTGGCAACGGCCGCAGTACCACAACGCATGGTCAAGATATGCTGGCTCCGGAGCCAGGTGGGACCAGTGCCTAATTCAAGCATAGCACTTGGGAGCTGGGACACTGTCTTATCACCTCTAGGGTGGATCTACTAAATACACGGAACGTCTGTTATTACAAGCCTGCCCTCCAGGCTGCTAAACTTCGCCAGAGCGTGGAAAAGTAATCATGCCGATGCATTATGGCAAAACTTCCCAGCCAGCGGGAGGTTTGTAATTAGCGTATCCGGGTCGAAGCCCTGGCGGTGGAGGAAAGCGCGCAGCACACACCATTGCGCTGCCGCTTATAAGCGAGGAGAACGGTCCCTGTGCATTGCCGCTGTTTGGGGTATCTACAATAGTGATGAATAAACTGTTGGTCTATTGGAAGCTATAGAAAGTTAGCTATCTTGCATATATATATATATATATATATATATATATATATATATATATATATGTATGTATATCCAGGGGCAGCTATTGCAAATCCATAGGCAGCCTGACTGTTTCCTTGTAAGCATAAGGCAGCCGTTAAGTCGTCCAGGTTTGATGCGCCTTGCTTATGCGTTGGCATAAAAAGTGTTTGAATGTTACATAAGCGTATGTGAGAAAGTGAAGACCATTTTTCTTAAGCCGCACCCTGATGGGGAAGGAGACCACCACCAGGCAAGGACGCACGCACTTGTTTGTCGGATGGGTTACTGACACGCAGATAGCCCGGCCTAACGCCGATTTCGTTTGCATTTCATCTGAGTACCGGGAAAGCGTGACTGGTCTCGGCGCTTGTCAGAGGCTGGGTGCCTAATCGCACCATGCCATCTCGCTGGTCGTGCAGACCCGGAGCAGGCGGGGAAACGCCGGAAAATCGCTGACTCATGCCCAGGCATGATATCAAGGCGTTTGCGGTGCGAAACATACCGAACTGATGCGTGTGTTCGCCATGCGCCCGACGTGACCTCCTCAGTGCATGCGTGCGGTACTGGCGTAAGAAGTTTCGTCCACACGAGTGTGTTGTGTGTTCACATAGACAAAAAGCGGGCTTGTTCCCCGGCTTCGTTGTGCGGTTAAGTTTGCATTGCAGACATTTTTGACGGAGAATAAGTCGGTTCCCAGGGCATGAAATCCGGGCAATTGCTCAGGTCTCGTTTACTCAGCTGTGCCGAACAGTGGCATTCCGCGCCTTGGCATTTATCCGCGGATCGTGATATAGTCATGACACTGATGATACTGGTGCTGACTAATACAGTTTCAAAAACGCAGCCTTTTCAGTTGACAACATCGATATTGGTGGTTAGAGAGTAAGACATCAGGAGACTATCACATGAGCACTCTGAAATGAATGAACGGGACTGCGGACTGAATACTGCAGGTGAATCGACACTGCATGGCAAATCATGGCATTAGAAAAGACACGCACGCTTTCCAAAGAACACAGAAAGCAAGTTGTTCGTATTAAGTATCAAATATGAAAGCTGTTTATTGCGCTAAGCAGCGTTATTTCACTTCAAGTGTGACCGCGAATGTATACCTCGTGGGTAACATTTAGGACGGCTCACCTGCTTCCCAGCATTGCTGGGGGCTATGCTCTTACACTGATGATACGCTCGGGCAAAAGTTGCGCGAGATTTGATATTCCACCGGGATTTTAAAGGCCGCTACCCAATGTCGTGTATCGATCTCGCCCACCACCCCACCACCAGGCAGCCTGTTTGGCAGCAACGACCTCTGCGGGACATGCATCAGCCGCCTTTTAGTGGGTTTCCTCAGCCGCTGACGGCCGTAGTGAGCCGCAGCTGCTCCACGCGTGATTACCACATCCATTACGGAGCGCCGAGCCGCCGTCGGAGGCAGGGTCTGGCCGCCATGTGGCGGACTGCTGCAGCCGGTCGCCGCCCGGTCTCCCCGCAGAGCCCTCTGCCCGGCTCGCGCTCGCCCCGAGAGGCGCCGCCGGGCACGCCGGGCGACCCGGCGCGCGGGTCGCCTGACCTTGCCTCAGTTTCTGACCTTGGCGCTCCAAGGTCGGCGTCGGGCGGCGCCCAGGTGGCGTGCCTTTCTCCGCGGCGGGTGCAGTCGGGACGCGACTGTGGCAGCGAGAGGAGGCGGACCGCCCGCCGCCGGAGCCGCAGTCAGGTGAGTCAGCTGACGGCGGCGGCGCCGGCGAGCCGGAGACGGGCAGTGGCGCGCCGCCGCCGAGCGCAGTGGCAGCAGCCGGCCGCTAGTCCGCCGCTGCCCCGCCGGCCGCAGCTCCGACAGCTGGCGGTTACAGCCGCTGTGCACTGTGCTTACTCTGGAGGTCGCACTGGGGGCACAAGCAGACAAACATGCGAGGCGCGCGTTCGTGTGCTGACATGACGTTTAGTGCATGCATTTTAGCCGTCAAAGCAATATGTTCAGTACAGACAACGATACGCGTTTCTTTACAAATATACTCTGTTCAAGTTGCAACCAAGTTTTAAGGTGCTTGCCTCACTCATTAGCAATCCACTCAATGGCCACATTCAGGGACAATCAGCTGGGCGAAAGGCTCAATTGAGATGAGAGAGAGAGAGAGAGAGAGAGAGAGAGAGAGAGGAGAGAGAGAGGAGAGAGAGAGAGAGGAGAGAGAGAGCGAGAGAGAGAGAGAGAGAGATGAGGAGAGAGAGAGAGAGGAGAGAGAGAGAGAGAGAGAGAGAGGAGAGAGAGAGAGAGAGAGAGAGAGAGAGATGAGAGAGAGAGGAGAGGAGAGAGAGAGAGAGAGAGAGGGAGAGAGAGAGAGAGAGCAATGCCGGCCTGCAATGTATTGGTCAATGATGCAAGGGGACTATAAGTGACGGCGTCCCCTGCCGCGTGATGACCGTCGTTCAGAATAAGCCTCAGGCAGCTGTCGCAAGGGTCGGGAAAGACCTGTCGCAAATATCCTATCCCCGAACACTGAACCCAAATGAATGAACCACGATCTTGTAGTGCTAACAGTCATGGTCCTTGGCACTTGTGTACAGTGCGCCGTTTCTGTAAATATGTAATTGCCCCTAAAGTCTCGACTGCACCACCTCAGCAAAGTAACCCCAGTTGAACAGATAATTTCCGCTGGAAGCCCTTACGTCGTCACGCAGTATCGTCACGCTTTCGCCCTGCGTCTGCCCAGGTCTCTTGACCAACCGCCAACTGGCCGTCAAAGATGAGCCACAGACAACGAATCACAATACAAAGAAGCATGGTTTCTCTGACGTCATCCCGCGTGCCTGCTAGAGATAGGTCAATGTATGAAGGATGTACAATGTACCGTTTTACAATCTCATATCCAGAAAGACAAATATCACTGCAAAGCACAGTTCTACTGAAACGTCTTGTTGTCCCCTTATCCGCTGTTCCAAAAGGACCAACACATGTGTCACCCAGAACTATGTTGGGGTACGTCTGCTGCAAGTAAGACCTGTAAGACCACCACAAGAGCTGTAAGACCACCATACTGATGTTCTTCCCACCTGTGCACCGGGTCTGTCTAGAAATAGCACGCGGTGGTGTACTCAGTGGTCTAATTTAAGCAACAGTGTAGCGCCGCGCATCATCTAAATTACCAGTCCGTGACCGTGCATAACCGTTTGCATGAAGCTGCCGAAATACTTGAGGACGCTGCAAGCATTGTAAAAGAGCTCATGCCGGCAGGATAAACTCTTAAATCTGCCTATAGGTTAAAATGATGTAAGCAATGAGGGTTTGCAGGGGCAGCAAATCAGGGACCGAGGAGGCAGCTGCCCTCTAATCTTTGTACGCTATGTCGTTGCGTAGCGAAATGACTGAAAAACTGACTTTTTCCGCATGCCAGATTCAAAACCTCCAGCAATGATCACTCACATGTGTCTCGTCGTTTGCAGTTTTATGGAATGGAAGATATCATGTTTAGCCATGTATTACAGTGTTCGGTAGGCATAGATGTTCATGTGGCACCTGCTTGTGATGACACAAATATTTCCGACATTGAAAATAATTTGTTCGTTGGTATATCAACCACAGATAAGGTCTAAATTGAAAAGCCTTGTAAGTTTTCAGAGCGACGCTTCCTCCCGCAAACAGCATGTGCTGCTCTCATCCTTGGAGCGAGCCAATTTGCAGCTCATCACACCAGTCAGGAGGCTAGTTGCGAGAAGATGGGAAAGTTGCGCGGTAAACCACAGGCAGTTCTCTGTTTCAGTTGTTTCTAGGTCGTGCCTACTAAATTACAGCGCGCGCTCATGTTCTTCTGATAGATCACGTCATCATGGCTTGAAAGTTTCAATGTAGCAGCCCATCTTTAATGCTAATGATACTTTTCGATCACGCTTCACTTTTTCGGTGTCCGTTTGAATGTAATATGAACACCGGTGTGAATGTCAAATGGAATGTACAAGATGCCTATGTTTACCACCTCCTGCATTCTAACGTCTCAAGGTAAACACATTTCGCTTGGTGTTGATACACTAGTACACCGACTGCTGATCCGCACACAGCACCGATTGGTTTGCGGGTGGCGTGCGGCGCATGATCACGTGCTCCAGCAGCTGAACACAGCTGGCACAGCCACCGCACGATCTGGACCTCTTCCAGCTGAGTAATGGCTCGACAAATAGGCGTTTCTCGCCACTCCGAACATTGTGTCGCGAGCGCGGCAGGCGTTAACAGCAGGCGTATCTCGCCTTCCCGAACATCGCGTCGCGAGCGCGGCAGGCGTTAACAGCAGGCGTATCTCGCCTCCCCGAACACGGCGTCGCGAGCGCGGCAGGCGTTAACTCGCAGTCACATAAATTGTTTTACGGCCGATGGAGTCGCGCGCAGCCATCCGCGGCTGCCCCGCCATTGTCGGCACCGTTGTGCAGTACACTTTCTAGCTCGTCGGCAGCGGACATGAACGTCCCGTACGCCTGTTACCGGCGAGGCAGTCAACTGGGGCGGGTTCGCCGCCCGAGCTGCGGCCATTAGCACGGCTCCGAGCGCTGATCGTCGGCGGGCAGCCGTCTACCGCGCCTCGATCTGATCCCACGTGACCGGGTCTCTGCCAGGTGCCCCCTGCAATGCCAGTGATGCTTCGCGACGCAGGAAGCTGTGACGCTTAAAGCGTTGGTGGGCTGCGCTACAGCAGGGTTTTGTGAAGGGTTCGATTCGTGGGTTTCTTGCTACCTGCGCATGCAATGTTCTGTGCCGAACAGTCTACTTTCAATCAGCATGTTTACGAAGTGCTCTTGAAATTTGTTTGACCTCGTTCATGGACCTGGTGCAATTTTGTTTCACCGAATCATTTTGACCTCGCATGCTGTCTGCGTTAGGTCAATAGAAGTAAACGCATGCGTCATTACATCCGTAACCAAACAGAAACAGCCGGTGACTTCATCGGACTGACGACTAGCACTTCCCGATATCTCCGATTCCAGACATGCCAGTCTTCGCTTCGTCGCCGTTTATTTGATCTCAGCAAGTCAATACCGGTTTGGTGACGTCTGCGTGATCTCATCACAGGCTTTTCTCTTTCAGAACGATCGTCTCGACCGTTACTCAAACTCCACAAACATCGGATTCCACCGAGAGCGAAATCTTACACCGTGGTTACGTTCAGCTCCAGCCGGAGCCCAAGGCTTTCAGCCGTCACCATGTGGACGAATACCGCCCTGCTGCTGGCCATTCTGGGTGAGTACCCGAGCGGCACGTTCCTGGCACCGTTCCCTGGTCGTTCCGCCCCAGGCATTGGTGGCGTAATCTTCCGCGTCCATCAGTGGTGGTCATCTCGCAAGCGACGGACGACCTCCGCACCCCAACTTACCCGCCGGCGTAGGCTTGCTCTGCATCTATAGTTTGACTTCGGGAGCTCCGTCTCCGGGAATCGGCTGTCCCAGGAGTCTACTGGTCCGGGAGTCGGCTGTCCCGGGAGTTGGCTGCTCCGTGAGTCGGCTGCTCCGGGAGTCGGCTGTCCCGGGAGTTGGCTGCTCCGTGAGTCGGCTGCTCCGGGAGTCGGCTGTCCCGGGAGTTGGCTGCTCCGTGAGTCGGCTGCTCCGGGAGTCGGCTGTCCCGGGAGTCGGCTGCTCCGGGAGTCAGCTGCTCCGGGAGTCGGCTGTCCCGAGAGGGAGTCAGCTGCTCCGGGGGTCGGCCAGCAGCACCGTTTACTTGCGGATCGGTGTTACAAGGACAGGCACGAATTTGACAGGAAAATCCGGAACAGCTGGTGGGCCATGCAGTCTTTTGCTTGCATGATCACTGGTCAGGGTCGTTGCTAAGCTATCGGCGCCGACGGACACGATTTCTTTGACGATGCTCGAGGCGCAGAACAAATAGCTAACAGGCAGTGATAAGGAAATTGTTCTGAACGGGCACTGTCATGCATTTAACTTCAGCTTGGTTATCAGGGTATGCAAAGCGGCGGTACCATGACATGGTATCCGTCGACCTGACAAGATAGCTGTACGTGAAATGTTTCGTCCTTTATTGTCATTAATAGTGGCAGTCACATATGCATCTAGACACCTTAGGCCCACAATATGTTCGCAATTGGTACCCGTGGTGGTGGTGGTTTGTTGTCGAGTGAGCACCGGCATCAAGACCATTCTGCGCCCACGCAATTAGTACAGTAGCCCCACTACGCCTAATTTTGATTGTCATGCATATAACTTTAAGCGTGTGGCTCCAAGGCTGCGTGCATTTGGACGGCTTTCAATTAGCTCCAGCTGGGCTGTGGTTAAGCTGAATACGTGCAGCTTTCTCAGCTAGTGGCGGCTCTGCTGAGGCAGCCGGGCACTGAGTGTTGTGCAACTGCACGGTCGCTCCGGGCTACCTGTTGTCTTCCATTGATAATAAACCACAATCTAGATCAGACGAGGACCAACACGACTGCTGTGCGCCGATTGCGGCGCGAGCGGCACCGATCGCGCCGGTTACGTCACCGCCGCCGCTACGCGCCACGCACGCCGCCGGGCGCGCGCGGCCGCACCGTGTCCGTTGCCTACCGATATTGCTACCGGCGCTCCCCCCCCCCCCCCCCCTACCCCTCGGGTGATCGACGCGACTCATTTCTGGAGCCGGCGCATGGCGCCGTCCCATTCCCGGGCGGCAGCGGCGGCGGCGGCCGTTGCACAAGCCGCCGGCGCGCGCGGCGGGCGGCGGCCGGTGTCGCCGCTGCAGTCTCCGGGCGCTGTTACGTCAGGCGTTGCAGTCTCGCAGCGCGCGCGCCGCCCGGCAGGGCCGCGGCCGCCAGGGCGGGCGGGAGCCGACTTCGAGGGAGATCGCCCGGCGGGTCACGACGCGGCAGCCTTTTCCGGCGCTGCGAGGTGCCGGGCCGCCCATTTGTTGCCGCTGACGGGGTCATTACGCGCGCGTGCGTTGCGCCATGTTGGCGCCAGTGCACGTGCTGATGGAGTCGGAGATGTGGAGCACTTGGCTGGGTGCTGACGGACAGGCCGCTAACGGGCCGATACGCGTCACCGTTTCGCAAGCGCCGCCAGCCGGCCGACGCTTGGGGACCTTGCGGGGGATGGGAGCTGCTTTCTGTAAGAATGGTGCGACCTCAGAGCAGAAGTGCGCCATCCCACCTGCACTTGGTCGGGCCGACACGCGTCAGGGAAATAGGTCGCCATCTGCAGAGCCGTTCAAATGGAATGCGATGCCTCGTTTGGTTTATGTGGCATGCGAAGAACAACAAGGATGCTATTTTCGAGCGTTTGTTTGGTTGTTGTTGAGATGGTGTTGGGACGCGCTGGTCGAATTAGCACGAATGTGGGATGACTTTCTTAAAGAAAACTGTTTGTAGGGACTTGACTGCATTGTTTGCCCCAAAACTACGCCACAACCCTGGGACATAAAGAACTCTTAAGAAATACGGTTTGCTTCCGAATCTGTCGAGTCCAAATTCATCAACACCATCCAATCTTGATCTAACGGAGCTGTCCCATTAGCTCACTCCTTTTCTGAACGTTGCAACTGAGATACATCCAAACATGCTATAGAAGCGTGCATCGGTTTGACAGCCAGCCCGTTGTTTTACTGCCGAGCAACCTGAAGTAAACTCTACCAAAGGGACATTCCTGGGCGGCCCACGCCGGTTTCGAGCCACTCCAAGGCAGTCTAGATGACTTCGGGTCAGTTTCAAACTTCTCCGAGCTGGTCACAAATCATTTCGAGCCAGTCCAGGATCCCCCAGGGACGGTAAGACCACACCAGCCGGGCCGCGGGCATCCCCACCAGGCTGGCCAGCGCCAGCCTGCCGTTCGGTCCGGGGCTAGTCTAACGCCCTGGTCACCCGTCCAGTCTGCCCCGGAGGCTCCTCTTGCCTGCCTGCAGCCCATCCACTCTGGTTCCAGGCCAGCCTGCCGTTTCTGAATGAGCCGCCCGACCGCCAGTCCGTCCCACGCACCATCCCCACAGCCTCACGAGTCGCGTCATCCTTAATCATCGCCAGGTGCTCCAGCTCTGCGCCAGCCGGCTGGAGCGGCCGCCTGCTCGCCTCCAACCGAGACCACCCCGGGTGTGGCGCCGGCGCCGTCGTGCCCTCCCTCCGCGCGCTGCAGCCAGCGGCGCGCCCGGCCGGCCGAGGTGGCGCCAGCACTGCGCCACTGGCCATTGCGCATGACGCCAGTGGTCGCCTGAAATGGCGTTATCACAGCGCAGTTATCGATTGGCAGGTCGCTTGAGACTGTTAAACGCCACGACTTGGCGTTGTTTTGTGGGGGCAGGCGGCTAATATTGCCCCAGAGTGCCACGCTGCTGATAAGGTCCCAGTGGTGTGGCAAGGAAACGTGCATGGCCTGCATGGCTGCTCAAAAGCTCTTTGCACACAGTGCAGGAGCTTGCTTCGTGATATATTTTCGCGTTACGCCGCTGAGTGTAAGCTGGCACGGAACTCAGGGTACGACGGCTGGGGGGAGGGGGAGTTGGACCGGGCGGGCACCGCGCGCGACTCGGCCAGACAGTCAGGCGCCTCCTCCAGCCGGTCGGTGCGGACCTGGATCGGGCCGGGTCGGCGCGCCGGCCGGGCTGGCAAGCAGGCGGCTCCTCCAGCCGGCTGACACATTCCTGCTCGGAGGGCGCCGCGAGGGCTGGAAGGGCATTCCTGCAGAGGGTGCACTGCAGACTACCTCGATATATAAACTGTCCCCTGCCACCCTCAGAGCCGCGGTGATTGGTCGGGCACAGCACACCAGCATGGTGCGTACTCGTGCTCGAGCCGGTCTTTCCCTGTTCGAACGCGATCCGACGGAAGCAGACGTGGGAGTACCAGTCCTACAGATTCTGAGTAAGAGGGTAATCATTTGGATTGTTTTTATGCGCATGAAGTGTAGCGCCGGGGCCTAAGGCAGGTCCCTTTGTGTTACGCTATTTCAGCGAAATCATGCCTTTGCCATTCCTATGTGTTGGTGCATGAGATTCGTGAATTACAACAAATAGAACATGATTAACTTGGACATCGAAAAAGCATATGAACTGGCACATAGGACAACAGGCAACACGCTATATTAACGATGTTTGCATTTACCCATTGATGAAATCCGATTGCTCACTTTCCAGTCATAGTTGATAAATGGAGCACTTTAGATTTACTAACTCGAAGCACATTCCCTGCTCATCTAGGGACGTAAAATGTAAAACAGATTGGCATGGATTATGTGACCAATCTTTTAGGTGTACCACATAGATCAGGAGGAGTCAAGAAATTTGGTAAAAGGGGATTGAGGGATTAATTATACTGCACACTGAACGGACAGGACAAAGCAGGAACAGGTTTTACAAAATCAACTAGGGAGGAGCTCAGCACACTTCCATCCGCCACTTCCTGTACAACTCTGAAAGTTCGCATGCTCGCACCGACCCAAGCTTGACAACGAGATGAAACGCATGATGAAACCGTGACGAAAGCTATTGTCATTACGCGCTTGGAACGTGACAAACCGGGTAATAGACTTAATGAAGATGCGGAATATCTCACCTGTCGTGCACACAGGCCGGTGATCAGTGCAAGCATCAACCCCGGGCGAGCGTGCTTTGTCGCAGTTGAGTGCCCACTGCGGTTTCCTGGCTTCCGCTGTTCACGGTTCCGCTGAGTCGAAGAAGAAATCCTTGTTGCAGTGGGTGGTGGCAGGCAAGCCGCAGAACTGCAGCGAAAGTCATCGGCGCCCGCTGCGCCCGGTGAATGGATGCTGTTGTGATGGCGTGTCTCTGCTGGCGTCAACCGGGCTGTATTTTCACACATGAAAACGCTCTGGATGCACGACTGAGCCCACTCGCGTTCCAAGTCATCATTATCGGCATGCTGTGAGCACTTCGCTGTCAATAATTTGAGCGGACCCTTTATCTACACATATGTTAAAGCGTTTGCTTTCAGGGTTTGCGGATTTCTGCTGGGCAAATTTTGCGGTATAAATCTGAGATTTGCTTAAAAGCAAATCAATATCAATAAAAGCAAAAATTAGACAAGCGCGTAAAATGCATGAAATACCTGACCTGATTCTTACGTCTCATTATCTTCCCTCTTATCGTTGAATTTAAAATAACAACAAACTGAGGAAATGGAGCAGTTTGGCTGCAGAGCTTCTGTAAATGAAACAGTGCATCTGATCGTCACTATTTTCACAACGGGCGTCATCCAGTGGTCCTATGAGCGTCCATCAGCCGGTCATCAGGCCGCGGCCATGTCCGGCGCCCGG